TGGCTCTGGGGTGCATGTTCACGCCTAAGATGTACATTATGCTTGCCAAACCAGAGAGGAACGTCCGAAGCGCCTTCACAACATCTGATGTGGTGCGAATGCACGTTGGAGATGGGAAGTCAGCTCAATGTGGGACCAACAGCTTCCTCAATATCTTCCGCCGGAAAAAGGCTGTCTCTGGCAATGCCAAGTGAGTGCCTTTTTAAGATGATTATATTTGGTAAGAAGCACAATTATAAGATGCCTAAACACTCAAATTGTACTGTGGTTTGTCCAAAGCTGATCTGTTGGTATTTTGTCGAAATACATCATTAAAAGTAACATGAAGGTGCTTATTTAATTTTTTTACAAGAATATTTGAGTGTTTATGCTTGATTTAATTTGTCCAATTTTAACTTTCCAGATCAGACCTAAACTGATGCATTGATTAAGAAACAGTAAGCATTGAACACTGATTTATAAGGCACATCCCCTCCCACTGAGGAACATAAAATAATACCACTGAAGTTCAGCTACATTTAACAGAAAACTGTGTCAGCGTTAATTCAAGTATATATTTCCGACATTTAAATTATATATAAGACTTGCATATAACTTTTTTGAGATTCACAGCAGTGACACTGGACAGGTGTCTAAAGTAAGGAGTTGGGCAGAGTATGAGAGTGATCCCAATATGTTTACGTGTTGTCTCTCACCCTTGCTATGCAGCCTCTCTAATCATCTAACCCTTAAACCTTCTGAACTGAGCAGCACACTGTCTGCAAAGTGTCGAGGCTGGCACATTTTTGGCATGGTGGTCTTTGAACTTCTTTCCTGGAGAGCTGCACTGTCCACTAAGACATTTTATCATTATAAACAACCATTGGAGACATTTGAAAGAAAATCTGTGAGTTTACCTCAAAGTTTTAGATTAAAAAAAATGGAATGTTGTCTAAAAACCTTCTGTTTTTGCATTTTAACAATTGCATTTGATTATGCTTGATTTTCACGAGTAATATAAAATAAGCTATTTGTTAACTATATGGAATATAATTTGTTGTGACTCAGCATCAGTTTTTGTTGTTGTTTTTGTTCAACAACAAAGCCTATGCTGCTGGTTCAAGTGTCTGGTGAATTAAAGGAATCACTTCTAAGCTGGATATGGGAAAAAAACGTTTGACACTGAAGCCCTCCAAGAATAAGTTCTGCCACCCTGCCGCTTTGGTTTATCCTGAATTAACCTCACATTTAACTTTTCTCAGCATGAACACCCCTCCCTACCTCTCCAACTAATCACATTAGAGCCAGTCCTAGCTCTGTCTGCACTAAAACTCTGTGTCAGTTCAGGCATCAACTAAAGTACAAATGCATGTGTCCCATTTAAACTATAGAAGCTTATAGTTAAGACAGAAGGAAATGAGTTAGGTGGCTCTTTATTCTGTACCTCAATGTTTAAAGCTATTTGCAGATCATAATGCTGTCTGCAGCACATTATGACTCACAGTGTTTGGTGACACAGTGGATACATGTAACGCTCCTTAGAGCTCATGAGTGAACCCCTTATCAAAGCTGTTAATGTCAAAGTCACGTGGTTAAAAAGTATTTTAACATGCATCAGAAATGTTGAAATGCTGCTGCTCTTGTTGTGTTATGTTGCTGCTATGCTGATGTTGTTTATCTGCAACCACCTCTTGGTTTCCTGTGTTAGTAACTTGGGTCTTTATCTCGTTCATAGTTCTAATGGCAAGTCTGTGTCATGGTCTGAATCAGGTCCAAGACACCCTCCAAGGGGGGGGAATGTGTGGCACAGACTGTCTGTGCATGTGAGGAAACAGGAAGCAGGCTTGAATCAGACGGCGGTCATCAGGCCCCTAACTAACACGCCCGACCCCCACAGTTGTGAGCCCTCCACCTGCAACCGTGGCACAGAACCCCGACCCCATCAAGTACCGCGCGGCGCTAAGCCTCTGTACAACCTGGAGGAGGAGGACGACGAGGATTCGCAGCGTCCCCTCTGGACTCCCTCTTGCTCTGGTCAGATGCAAGGGCTGGAGTCTAATTTAGATAAGCCTGCATCTTTTCTGCCCTCTCATTTAAAGGGCTGCACTACGGAGCGCTTGCAGGGGGCTGTGGTGGACACACACAGCTCCTATGCCCCTGCACTGAATGACAACACCGCCAAGGAGGCACACCCTGCCAACGAGCCTTTGAGCTTGACCCCCTTTCAGCCTCCTTTGGTCCCACGAGTGGGGGTGTTTGACGAGGAGGGATCCGAGGACGAGTCACTGGACCTCTTACACAGCTACATTTATGATGCCAAGGAGGAGGAGGGGGAGGAAAGGGATAGCGTGGATTTAACTCAGAACAAGCCATCTCTAGAGGATTCCCTTGCTCTATCCCCCCCCTCCCCCTTCAGAGACTCTGTGTGTTCGGGGGAGTATGTCAGCGACTCCCCCATCATGGAGTCGATGTTCGGGAGCCCTCCGAGCTCAGTCTACACCTCAAACATGCTCCATGACTACGCACACAGCTCTTCAACACTGTGAGAGCGAAACAGGCGCTGACACAGTTGTGCATCACACAGACATTGCAATTGGCCCATACTGGTTGAAGCACACAAACAGAAACATACTGTACAACCTAATTGTATTATAATTTCAAGTTTGTAACCCTTGTTCCCTGCCATTTGCTTGCTTGTATTTATTACTCTGCTTTTAAAAGTAAGGGGTTAATCAAGTGATAAGTAGACAAACACCAGGAACCATCCATGAGTGCTTACATTTCTGAAGGGCTGCTGGTGCACAAAGCCTTTCTGGAAAATGTTAAACTGGGGAGAGTGCCAAAAGTAGACAGCTCTCATGCCAAATTGTGATGAATTAAGAGACACTTAGAGACATAATAAAGGATGTGCTTCTCATAATGGCAGTGCAGTTAAATGGTCTATGAGGAACAAATGGAAAGAGAAACATTGTGTGTGCATATATGTACACTGTTAGATACAAGAGACCAATTTAGCTCTAAGCACTGCAGTAGCTCAAGTGCATTTCATGCCGGTTTTGATTAGCTCTGCTCCTCTCTGCTGCACATGTACAGGTCTCTTTATGTGTGTAGCAGTAGCAGCTGCATTGAAAAACTTTTTTTTCATTAATTGATTTCACCTCAGCTTTCTCTCACCCAAACTCATCGCAATTTTAAATATTACTGAGATTAATTAACAAGAAACGTGCAGTAATTTGGTTGAATATTACTTTTATGTGTTGCGAGTTGTGCAAAAAATATTATCACTGAACTGAGATTCTGCTGAACACTTGCGCTGTATGATATGTGGTATGGGTATAATGTTCCAATCAGAGTTGTTATCAACCTACATTCCTGCTTTCAGTTTTTACGATGTAGCCGATACAGGTTAGCGCGATTGTAGATGATGGCGATGTTGTGTATTCAGTTTACACTCAATCATAACCCTGAGAACCAGTTTTACGAGCATGGGACGTGATAAAAGAACAACTTTTGCTTTCAATGCCGTGTTGATATTTCTCATGTTTTCTGAGTTGGCTGTGTCATTGTAATGAAAAACACAGTACTTGTACAAGTTCTCAAAGTTTGTAATACTGTTAAGCCATCTCTTGTTTTTCACACAGGTGGTATGTTTGTAATACTGATAAATGTTTATATATTTAGAATATCAACAGGAAAAAAAAGAGTTTATACATTTTGAAACTGTCCTCAGATACTTGTCACAGAACAGTGTGTTTGGTTTTTGGGTCACTTTTAAGCTAACTTGAGTCGACTGTATCTTCTTGATAATATTCAGTTGTTAAAGTAACCAATGATTAGTTGCTTCTTGTAATCAGATTATACATGCTTCAATTTTGCTTAAATCTTGCATTATAAACTTTAGTGGTTTACTTGAGGTTAAGTTTCTTAGTTCTTTATCTATAAGAATACAAATTATTTCAAAGTTCAAGACTATACAGTGCATACAGTAGTGCAATTGTATTGTATTTCCAAATGTTTTTAGTCTATTATAGTGTAAGTTGTTATATGATTTTAATGATTTTTCAATGTAAAATATACGAGGGTGCCACCTGTTTAACACTGTCAAATCTAGAGTGAAATAGGCCTTTATGTTTTGGGCAAGCTGAACAATGCTGTAAAATAAAAACTATTTATATTAAGAAGACTGATTACTGCAATAGATTTCAAAAACGGGGTTGTCATTCGGTTCGCCTGCAAAAAGACTTGCCGAGCTCAATATTAGTTTACATCGATGGAAAATACGGTTTGTGAGAAATCCATGATCCGCAAGTGGTTATCAAGGTATGTCAAGCTAAATTCAAAGATTTTTAGGTCAAACTCTACTAAAAAAATGTGTTTTATTAATTGTTACTTCACATAGATGTTTTAAAATTAAATGTTTATCTTAAGACATAGTTTGACATTTGGTAGATAACATCACTTTGATACATCCAAACTTTTTTTGAGGCAATTGTTGCTCAATATTCCACCTAAATATGTTTGATGTGATGCTGGAGCTTTCAAGAAAACAATGGACTTTTTATTCATTATGTGTCCATCCAGCAGTAAAACCTTTGAAGTAGAAATATTTGCATACATTTATAGATAGCTTTATATTTTACTTTTTTTTAATGAACTAGTTAATTTGACCCTTTTCTTCAAATTAAACAAATTAAATATGTTTAAGGCACATATTTAAAAACAAAGAAATGTCATTTACTCAAAAAATGTATCCACCCACTCCCCACTATTCTGAATGCAGCAAATAATGCATCGGCTACTTGTTTCTTTGTTTTTAAAGTACAAACGACATCCCACAGTGGCTTTGGTTCATGGTTACTTGAGTTCAAATTTGCATTGACATTACACAGTTGGGGAGCTTGAGTTTGAATGCGGGACAACAAATCACCCTGTAAACATGAGAGGGTTTCTGTAGCTGCAGCAGCGCGAGGACGCCTGAGCGTATGTCAAGTTTCTTACATTTCCGGGTCCTATGACTTATCAGGTGGTTACTGAGCAGGAGGAGGAGAAGGATAATTGAAAGGGGAGAGACAAATGTAATTTCTGTTGCATCTGGCCCTGAGCCCCCTGACCAGCCCAGTCCTACAGCAGCTCTCACAGGAAGCATACATGAGCGAGAAAGCAGAAGCTGCCAGAGTTTAGAGAAAAGTTGTCGGTGTGTGTGTGTTTGTGTCAGCATGGCCGGGGGCTCGGTGTTTGAGTGTAAGGAGTACTTGTTCAAAGTGCTGGTCATCGGGGAATTAGGCGTCGGGAAAACGAGCATCATCAAACGCTACGTGCACCAGCTCTTCTCGCAGCACTACAGGGCGACGATCGGGGTCGACTTTGCTCTTAAAGTGATCAACTGGGACAGCAAAACGCTGGTCAGGTTACAGCTGTGGGACATCGCAGGTAAGGAGACGCTAATTCACTTCAGTCACGTGACACTTGGTGCTTTAAACTGAATCCGATGCTTTCACTATCAATGGATGCCAATCTCAATTTCTCTGTGTGGCACGGTGAAGTTTCACTTTCACAGATTGCAAGATATGACGAAATTCAACATTTCAGTTTTAATATTCATACAGAAATATAGACATTATGTACAGAAGTAAGTACCACAAGCTCAGTTAGGCAGGAGGAATTTCCAACAGAAAATACTGGTTGATCATATCTGCTCGTCCCCTTTATGATATAATTCAGAGGAATGTAGGTCACGTTGTTATTACCAACAGAGCGCCACCCCCTTCCCTGAACTCACCATCATATTCTTGTTATATTTTCTCTAGGGATTCATTTGTTGTTTGCTAAGTGACTTAACTGCTCCTCATCGTTATTCCATGCTGTTGTTCATGTTGCAATGTCACTGTAATGTTCCCCAAAAGTCCTTCTGCCATGTGATCCTTTTTCTCCATGCAAGGATTTCAATAAACTTGGGTAAACTCCCTCTGAGCTTCTAAACTTGGCACACACAGCAACCTGTGAATTCCAGCAGCTTGAGTAAGCAAGCCCAGAGAAATCAGAGCAGTGTAAATAAAGTTTCACACTTGCAGGCTGTTTAAAACTCCCACTGTTTGTTCATCTTCAGGCACCAAAATATCACATTGCAAACAGAAAGTGTCTGAGAATGGCTTGCTGGAAAGGACAGGTGAGAGAGGAAGTGAGAAGCAATCAAACCAACAAACACAATAGGCTTGTTTGAGACGCGTTGCGGATCGCCTCGAAAGTAGACGAGAATAGCCGATCGCAGCCGGGGGAGGTCTCAAAAAGCTCGCCTGAAGTCGGACAGCTCGGAGTCGGCTTGACTCGGTTTGCATTTATAAATAATGTACACGTGTTTAATCGTTAATGTCAGATAGCCTATGTATTAAGTAAATAGCCTACATTTGTTCCTGCTCGAGATTAGATTCAACTTTATTGTTATTGCACATATTAGAGGTAGGCCTACTGAGACAACGAAATGCAGTTTAGCTTCTAACCAGGTGCATCAAGCAGTGAAGTGAAAAGTAATGTACACAATAGACAGAATAAAATATAGAATGAATTGAATGATGAATAAACAGTGAGGGGCAGTATGAACAGTGTGTATTAATATGCTAAGATATATATATATATATAAAGTATGAAAACGGTAACCAGTGCAAGTATAGTATAACATATATGGATATTAATTTCATGATGATAAACATTGTGGAACAATGATGAAAAATGTGAATGGAAGTGGCGACGTAAAACTGACACAAAACAACAACAAACTTTTGCCGAGCCAATTGGAGAGTTTCATCACCAGCACGGGGTAAAAACCACCAATGAGCGCTCAGCTCGAGATACCAGCGAGTCGTTTCCCATCAAGCATTTCGCTTCCGCAGCCCGTGGAGAGGAACTGCGCCGCCTCGCTCTCAAGGCTGCGGGCGTCTTTGTCCCGCGAGATTTCAACGTCTCATGTAGGAGCCTCCAGAGCAAGTCGGACAAAATGACTAACCATCATGCAACGCACTAGCAAGACGTTGATCGCAACTGCGCAGGTCTCGCTTGTCTCAAACAAGCCTAGTAACTGTCTTTTACACTTCCATGTTGACCAATGCAGGCTTTCCTGAATGAGGGATGTAATGTGTGGTGAAGGGTCTCTGTGACATCCTAGCCTCTTTTCTTTCATGTTATTCCTAGATTATCCTCAGTCATAGCCTAAAATAAAACTCACATTCGTGCTTGGGAAATTGCTTAGTCAGATAATAGATATACTGTAAATCATAAGGTCAATTTATGGTGGGTATTTTTACGTTTGGTTTAATGAGATCACATGGCTTCAGGTAACGAGGGCGTTGCTGGTAACGAGTCCAAGGGTTGTCTCTTTTTTTATGTAGTTGCTGTAATTTTAAATAGCAAATATGTTATTTAAAAAGTGACAGTTAATAAATGCCATTTGTATTATCTGTTCTGTCTAATCCCAGACTAAACAGTAATGATCTCACATGTGCAGAAGGAAAGTAGGAGTAGTTAATCATTCTCTGAGAAGGTGGCATTCGAGGAGAGGAGTGTGGATAAAGGACTGACTGTGTGTATTATGTGCAGAATGAATTGTAATTTAAACTGCTTGTTTTATCTGATCCAGAGTCCCAAAATATTTATAAAACAAGCACATATTCACAGTTGACAACACATTAAATGTCAGATCGCTCTTAAAGCCTTGCAACTGTAATTCAGCTCACGTTTTGTTTCCAGCTGCAGGCTTGTAGTGGACATAATATTTGTTTTCACAGGATGATAAAATGACTACTTATGATGACGTCGGCTGTCATTAAGATTGGACTTTATGCTCACACCTATTTGTCTATTCCCTCAAGTTGAATTGCAACTGAAGGATTTAAAGTACAATGGATCCTTCACTGTACCTTCTGACTCTCAGTCATGGGTTTCCAGAGATGATGCGCACGACAGAGCTTGAGATGGGTAAACCATAAACTATTCAAGATGGTTGAAAATCACCATGTGCAAGTGATTTAGCACCACATGCAACACAGAGAATAGGGATTGTTTCCTAGTACATGCTGTTCATGGCCCAGTTATAGCTTGTGATCTGGCTTTGCTGTAAAATCTTTAACTGCTGAGTTGCCTGTCAAGATTTCTGTATTTTGAAGAGCTCAATGCTGCTCAAAATTCTTTTTTAAATTTAGACAGACCTGTCCATTTAATATTTATTCATGTTGTGCAAATACAAATAAAATAGCCCTTTTTAGATTTACTCAATTCATACTTCCCAATGTCACCGTGGCCTTTCTTCTCCTACAATCAAACAAACCTCATGTGCTGAGAGAGAGATCAGGACAGATGTTTTTATTTGTATTCCATTGCTAACAGCAGTGACGGAAAGGGGGTGGACAGTTGGTTTGTGTGTGTGGTGGAGGGGTCATTGCAGACTGATTGGCTGAGTGGGCCCCCCCAACCCGCCCCCCCCCCCCCCCCCCCCCCCCCCGCTGACACTTGGGGCCCTGGCAGCACAGGCTCAGTGTGCAGGGGCATCTGTGATTGAGTGCCAGGGAAGGCCGTCTGTGACAGTCAGACAGCACTCGATCAGAGGATCTGTGAGGGTAAATAAAACACACAAACACACTTAGGCTGAGATCATCCATCGAGACAAAGGGAACACGTTGGCACATATTGGGTGAAAACACTGATACTAGAAGTACGTTTGAGGTAAAATGACACAGTCAATTACAATTATCGCACCTCAACAAGGTCTGGCCAGCAGACTCCGAGGATGAAATAAGTATCAAATTGTTGGTGTGAAAGAGCTCGAGGTATATTAAGACCAGTCATTAAGCCATTTAATCGTGCAGAAAAGGAGGAGGAAATATCTTCTGGGCAATGCTGAGGGCAACTTCAGAGTAGGGTTGTCTTTTAGCAAGCCTACTAATGATTACAGTCTGGGAGGAATGACAGTAATCAGAGGCTTGTACGTGAGGTGGACAACATGGAAGTGTAAAGCTAGCAGAGCTCCCACCCCTTTTCACCCGGAATTGCTACTCTCTGCTTGATTTGTCAAAGACTGTGGACAGGATGATTACCAATAGTCAAAGTGTTAAAATAGCCTGCACCTCGTAGGACTGAACCTAAGAGCCGGAGGATGCATGTTACTGCAGGGGTTTCCATCACAGTGCTAACCCGCTGTACTGTCAGGAACATGTGATTTTACATTGACCCCTCCAACTACTCTCTTTTCCCCTCAAACATTTCATTTTCCACCAGGATTATGTTTTATACATTTTTGTCATAATCTTTTGTCTTTGGATTTTGTGTGTAAGGTTAAGGAAAGAACTGTATGTAACAATTACATTTATCATCAATACATCAGTAGATTATTTCCTCTAAAAATAATTTTGTCTTTATTAATATATCTTTGAAGATGAGATGTAGGTAGTAACAATTGCTTGAGTAATTACTTAAACCAAATTGATCTTTAAAAAAGTGACTAATTAGTTTTTATTGTTGATCGTCTAACTAACAGAATAAACAACTCAACCACTAAGTAACACTTTATTGCTGCCAAGCAATTAATCCCCATTTAGCAATCACAACTTTAGATACTGAATGTGACCTTGAGGCCTTTTCAAGCACACCGTGTAGAAAAAATGCACCAATGTTGAATGAGCAATGAATGTTCCACACCAACAATGTGCAATAAGGAGCTCCTTAGTGTAAAAAGTAACAGTCTTTGCTGAACATTTCCTTGGTCACTCCACTTTACACTTGAGAATATCTCTGATATCTCTGGTAAGTTGATCATTTACACAGCTCTGTCATTATCTGGTATTTTTTTTATAGTTTTCGTAGTAATTATGTAGAATATGTTTTGTTTTTCACTTTTCTTTATCCTACAGTTTAATATAACCAGAAAAATGAAACAATTTCTGGCCTGTTCTGGATTCTTACACAGATTGAAAAATGATTTTGATGCATGAGTAGTTTAAATGAATCACATGTAATAAATCTACAACAAATGTTAGTATTTTCAGCTAAATTCCTGTAACGTTGTGCCAAGGCTTTATATTAATCGGCCCCCATTAACCCTTCAGTTAAAGGTAGAGGAAAACGATAGTCACACGACTTGTCGGTTGAGGATTTCCCCTGAATTCAGACTTTGTTTGCTGCTTAAGGCCTTGGTAAGCTGGAGTAAGTCACCTCTCACATGCTGCTCTGTGGAATTTGAACGTGCCAGTCATGTGATGTTCACGGTCTATCCTGAGAAGCTCGTGCTGAAGACTACCTTAATGACTGGACCCTGTGTACTTTGGGTAATGTAGTTGCTGGGAGGGCGTGTGGTGAAGTTTTCCAGCAGTTGCCTCCCATCAACAGACGGAGACTGCTGCTATTGCTACTGCCGTGTCTGGCTTGGACAGTTTCTATGGTAACCC